CTCTAGCAAGTGCAGTACAAGAACATCTTGGAGAACAATCACAGGCAGGTATAACACGCAGATTTGTAAATTCATCCCATAGAGTCTTCAATTAAGTATAATAAGCACTAACCGAGAGAGTTCCTTGATTGAATGCATAGATATCCTCTTGAAGTTCAGCAATGCGAAAATGATCACAATGAGAGAATCGTTCCTTGAGATCCAACCAGAGATCAATGACAGTGTCAATCCACAAGACACTTTGCGTGATATTTGAAGACAGAGAGTGAAATAACCATGATAAGACCATGGTATTACACCGTTCCCAATGACAATAAAGAGGATCAGAATCGGATGGAACATGAATGCTTCCATCAATGAATTTTAGTTTGTTTTTAGAGAGTAGAGCCATGCGCATAGCACGAGACTAACTGTGATAGTTTGATTCTGTTAAAAGGGACGAGATGAGAACCAAAGATGGATTCTCATTTGGATGAATGTAGTATGGGCGAGAAGGGTGATCCTCTAGTATAAGACCAGATCCAAGGGTCGCTGCCATGGAGAAACTCTGAAGATCAAAGAAGGAGAAAAGAGCACCAAGAACATAGCTCAACTAATTGTTTGGGTTATTACTCTGAAACGAAGAAGTGTGGACCATCAAAATTTTTGAGCTCTGCAACCATAACGGAAACATTTTGAGAGGAGGAAGAAATTCAAATTATATTCTCTCTCTTCATCATGTCTTATGTACATATAATGGAGGGCATAAAGGTAAAATACAAGCCTATAACTAATCTGTTATAAAGCTTTATAACAGACCAGGTATAAAAGAAAAAACAAGAAACTAATTCAACACAAAACAGAGTGTCACTGAGAGAGGAACAGAAAAGCAAAGACATAGAAATTGTGTGTGATAGAAACATTAAAGTCACATTCTTTACAATAAATAAAATAAGGAACTTGTTTGATTCATCTAATAATTTATGTCATTCATTTTTATTAATTTTAAGATGAAACTAAAGAAAACGCGTTTATTATTGAAAATAAAAATTGTTTTCTTTAAAGCACATGTTTCTAATTCTCCAGTTCTCTTGAAAACTGGAAAACATCAAAATAGTTGCTTTCCGCATTCTACACAATAAGGGCTTTGTTTGGCAACCTAATATATTATGCCATTCTTTTTATTATTTTAAAGACAAACCAAAAAAGACTCTTATTTTTTATTTTGGAAAATTTAGATTTAGTAATCGTGTTTCTTTAATTTTCCATAAAAAAATATTTTTAGAATAAATCTAGTTATGAAATAAATAAATAAAACTATTTTCTAAAATTAAACAATATTAATTTTAATCTCTAATCTCTACAATCTATTAGAATCTGTGAAAATGACCCAACAAATTTTTTCTAAAAAATTTGGTCCCTAGATCATTATTTGAACGGTGCCCATTATATTCTGCAGTGAACTAAACTTTTTTAAGCTAGCTACCTCAACCATTTAAATAAATAAATAATTTGTAATTTGTTTGCTTCCTTAATCAATAAATTGCCAATATTTTGATTTTTCATGGAGAAATATTTTTAGAATAAACAATGAAACAAAATATCTATTTTCGGGAAGTAACCAATATTTTAAATCCTAATGATCTACAACCTACTAAAATATGTGGAAAATGACCCCAAAGTTTTTTCTAATTTTTTTCCCCAAGATCATTATTTGAACAGTACCCATTCTATTCTTCAGGTCACGTTAACTTTTTAAGTTAGCTTTCTCAATCATTTAAATCAATAAATAATATGTAATTAACTTGCTTTAATTCCTTAATCGATAAATTGCCAATACTTTGATTTACCTAAATGCCAGTAATCTCTAAAGTCTAGATTTTTATTTTTTATTTTTTACAAGTGGCATTTTAAATTATTCTTATTTTTAATTTAAATAATTTTTTTTTAAAAATTTAAATTTCATTTGACGGGTGAAATTAAAGTTAACTTTCAAAATTAAGCCCATTGAATTGATAATTCTTTTTAAAGTATAGGTACTCAAATAACAAAAATAAAAATACATACACTGAAATAGCAAAAATATAATAAGAAATACTCAAATGAAATTAAAAAAAAAAAAATTTCACACACGTAACATAAAATAACATCAAATCAAAGCTATGGAGGCAAAAACGCATTTCCACCTTCAAGACAATTAGGGGTGAGACTAATGAATTTCAGAGGCAAGAATGTGTTTTTTTCCTTCCTTTATGACTGTTTCTTTTTAATCCAACAATATGGCCAGAAAAAAAAATTAATTTCAATTCTTGCAATTTTTTTTAAAAATATACTCTATTCCCTACATGTTATTTTTCTTACTTATTAACCTGATTTGAAAGCTTTGTGGTTAATATAAGTTTTTTTGTAAATAAAAATTAGTTACTAATTAAAAAATTGCAATTTATTCCCTATATAGGTGTCCAATAGTAAAATGGACAATTTAAATAAGTTGATGTGCAAGTAAATATCAAATGAGTTTAAATGGCTCATAAATGAATAATGGGTAAAACGTGAGTTATATATATCCATTTTGATCCAACTCATTACCGTCTAAACCCATCCGTTTACCATCTTACAAAAAATTTATCTTTTATCACTTTACTAGTACCATAGCTAAAGACATTGAAAACAAAAGTTACTTCTTAACTTTATCATGTATATTAACTGATGACAGTAAGATTTCTCAACTCGGTGTCGTATCTTTCTATGGAAATTTCTAGGTGTCATTGTAAATGCCATCTCCATCGTTTATCATGTGGCATTCAGAAAACATCGATCATGTCCATCTCCATCCCCACCTACTTCTTTGTTTTTTTATTTCTCACTCCCTCTTCCTATGGAATTATATATATATATAAACCGTCCTGTTAACATATATAGATTCTTCCTGTCCAAAGACATGGATGATACGCTTTGGAAGAAACTCTTTTGTTTGTCTTTTATGCAATTTCAATAGCCATGGATGGCACTTTTTTTTATATCTACAATGAACTTTGTAGTCTTCACTTTCAATATTCTGCCATTGCAAGCATCTCTGCTTTTTTACTTTTATTTTAAGTTGTTTAATTTTCTCCAAATAAGGAGTCTACTTGGTTTTTCTCAGTGTTTGCATTATTTTGGTGGGAAAATGAAACTCAAGATCCTAAAGTAATCTTTTTAAATACTTCCATCTTCCTGGACCTTTCACTCGTGTAAATTAAGATGCTTGCCGATTTTTTTATTTTTTATAGCTTTTTATTTTTTTTTCATTTTTAATTTAAGATTTGATGTTCTTATAGTATAGTCCTCGAAAACCACTTGAAATCTTTCAGCGGATCCCAATAGCAATGGTTCGGTTGATTGACCTGATTCGAGTGATACGTTACTAGAGCGTTTACTAACTTTATTTTAAAGTAACTAATTATATATATTTCATTTTGGAATCGGATGTTGTATAATGACATGATTAATGTGTTATATAGGTTTTTTTTTTTTTTCAACTAATAATTATCACATTTTTTTTTCTCAGAATAATTATATCTTCCCCATCATTTTGGTAGAAGCATTCGCGTTGCTTTCAACAAAATCAAATATTATAAAACAGATGTACTCTGTCAGTAGTCTAACTCGTCTACTTTGGAGATTAAACCGAAGATTTTCACCTAAAAAGGTAACAATAACTTTGTTCATTTCTCATCTGTTGAGTTTTAAATTAAAAAAAAATAATAATAATCTAAATAGATCTAAAAACAAGGTTTTAAAATTTTGATTGGATTTTGGTTATTTAAAAATGAATTAAAATGAATTCCGTTGTGTGAAAGGTGGCTTGTTAATATTGATAAATATATTTTACCATTGAAAAAAAAAACTAAGTTTATGCTTACTTTCAAAAAATAGTTTGGTGGTTTCTATGTCTAATTTTATTTATTTATTCTAAAACGATTAATTTCTCTGTTGAAATTAAGAAAACATATTTATTAAGTACATAATTTTGAAAATAAAAAATAAGCATCTCTTTTGCCTTATTTTAAAAATAATAAAAATAAATGACATAAAAAAATTAGGTGAACTAAACAAGGTTCTTATTTTTTATTGTGGAGAATACAGAAAATATCTATTTTGATAATTTTCAAAAAAATTGAAGAATTAGAAAACATGCGTTTTTCAAGAAAACAATTTTTATTTTTAATCAATAAAAGTATTTTCTTTAGTTTTCTATTTTGTAGAAAAAAAATCAAGAAAACTGAATTTTTTTTTTCAGAAATAAACACAATTCTCTAGGACGAATCGATGGAAAATGATTGTATAGACATGTTCTCACATAAAAACATCCAGAATGGAATAAGCAGATATACTACTTTTTCCAAAATGGAAAACGACAATTAAAACATGAACTATGCAAACCTTGTAGTAATTGTTTTGTCTTGTCTCTTGACAAAATATTCTAGAGACAAACAGATAGAGAAGAGAGAGAGTAAATTATAAATTACTCCCTTTCGATTAACTATTCGTTGAAATATCTTTACGGTATTATTGTTTGTTCTCAAATTACTTTTTTTGTTTTTTTTATGTATTATTTCTTTCATTCCTGCATATCTCATCTCTTTCTCTCTTTTTAAATACTAAAATAAATCTTTATATATATATATATATATATATATATATATATTTTATATAAATCTTCACTTCTCATTTTATTAATCTTCACTCTGTTTCTCTCTCTCCAAGCATCAAAACATATACTAATTATATATATTAAAAGATATTTTAGATATTAAATGTTAATTTGATATATTTGACAAAAAATTAACGTTAAAAAACTAAATAATTAGTTTTTAAAATGAAGAGGATTAATTAATTTGTTTTTCAAAATCAGAGGACTAATTTATAATTTACTCGAATAAATTAATATATATGCTTGAGGCTTCACTTCTCCACAAAGCACACCACACCTTGTTCTTATCACAGCAATAATATACACAGCGATAGAGAGAGTGAAGATGAGCAGCAAAGAAGAAATCGTATTGCAGGGATCGTTGTCAATGAAGGGTGGAGATGGAATATACAGCTATGCCAAAAACTCCTCCTTCCAGGTTTCACTTCAAAGAGTTACATATATCTATGAATTAATTAATTGTTTATACTTTAACGCCATGCTTTCTGCTTTCAAACATGTTAGACGATTCGTTGATTATGATAAAGGGAGCTGGCTACTCACTTGGGTCCTTAATTAAGTACTTAATTACTTTTTGCAAACATATTCTTAATTTTTTTTTGTCTTTTGAACCAAAAATGTATATTTCCTTGGTTTTTGTTAAAAATGTTAAATCACTTGTACTGGTATATATATTATGATGTGATCATGGTATAATTTTATTCGTGCTATAATTCTTTTGAAAAATAATAGTTCCAAAAACCTCTTAATTGGTTCAAATGGTTATGAAGCTTTATCTTAAGAAAAAAATTTTCAAATATAAAGAATTTGATTTTCAAATTTTTACAATCATAATTTTGTTTGAGTTTATTGAAGTTTTACAATGTTTCTTATATTACAATCAGAAATTCAAAACAAACAAAATAATTACGAAAAAATGGAAATCTCTTTACTTTTCTTTTTCTTTTTCTTTTTTTGGGAAAATAAACTTTTCCTACTAATTAATTTTTTTCCCTTAATTAATTGCTCGGAGCTGTAGGTCTAACAACATCAAATAACTACGGCCTACTGGGTAGGGAGACACCACTGACGTCTTACCTCTAAAGACTAAAGCTATACTAAAACAGCGCTGGGTGTGGGGGGATGGGCTTCCATAAAGTGTGATTAATTTTTGGACTTAACAAAACAATATTATATTCGTTTAAAAATACTAAATCATGGACTTCAAATTTATAGTCAATTTAAAATTGGCGAGTGTTTTATAGATCATACAAAATTTCCTTTCATAATTATATCATAAAGTAAAAGTTAAATTTAAAATTATCTGGATGATCTTACGCGCATCAAATATTATTCTTACTTTTGCAGAGAAAATCAGCAGATGTTGTAAGGGAAAAAATTGATGAGGCAATTGCAGAGAAACTTGATATGAAAAGCCTTTGTTCAAGAGGCAGCAGATTTCATATTGCAGATTTTGGATGTTCAACCGGACCAAATACGTTTATAGCAATGCAAAATATACTGGAATCTATAGAAAGGAAATACCAATCCCAGTGCCCTACTGGTCAAATTCCTGAATTCCAAGTATTTTTTAATGACCAAGTATCGAATGATTTCAACACCCTCTTCACCACTCTCCCTCTGGATAGGAAATACTTTGTAGCCGGTGTGCCCGGGCCTTTCCATGGCCGGTTGTTTCCTGCTAGCTCTCTTCATTTTGCTTATTCCTCTACTGCACTACACTGGCTCTCTAAGGTGCCAGAAGTATTGTTAGACAAGAACTCTCCTTCATTTAATAAAGGAAGAATTTACTGTACGAGCACCCTGGATAAAGTGGTTGATGCTTATTCTTCTCAATTTGCTAAGGACATCAAAATCTTTTTGGAGGCAAGAGCGAAAGAGCTTGTTGCTGGAGGAATGCTGGTGATGATCATGCCTGCCAAGCGTAATGAAAACCCTCATTGCCAAACAGGAATGGGAATGTGTATAGAGTATTTAGAGTCTAGCTTCTTGGATATGGTGAACGAGGTGAGTACTCAACCGAAATAAACGCAATATTATGGGTATTTCATAGACCACTCACTAGCTAAGTACACCCATAGGCAAAAAAAAAAAAAAAACATTTTTTTTCTTAAAAACATGTTTCAAGCACTTGCACATACATATTGTTGTTAAACGCCAGGAAAACGTTTTTGGCAGTTTAGTGTAGAAAATATTTCTATAAAAATTAATGATTCTTTTATTAAAAGATGGATTGTTTTCCATTGCACGTATATGTTACGAGAAATATTTTCAATTGGTATTTTGGATTGGCGATATTGAAGTGATAGCTACGTTCATAACTAGGAGGAGGAGATGGTGATATATAGTCGAAGTGGTTAAATAATAGTGTTAAGTGAGTTATTGTCTTAAATCAGTAGTTTAATTTCTGAAAATATTTACAATCCTCCAATTCATTCCTGAAATGAGCCCTGCCTTTTTATTGACAGACAAAATTCCTTCTTCACCAATTTTCTATTGTGAAATAAAAACTGAAAATATTTTATATTTGTTTTACAGCAATATATAATTCGTTTGTCCACAAAATAAACACTCTTAAAATCCAATTGGAGGTATATTGTAGAGTTCATGGCAATGTATCTTTTGATGTTATGATTATGGGAGAAAAGAATTGGATTGTTTTGGAGCATTATTTGACTTTAATTTTATGTATGCATCTAATTAGTTTTAACACCAATTAATGGTTGTTACCTACAGGGAATAATAAGCGAAGCTAAAGTAGACTCTTTCAACTTGCCATTGTATGAGGCTTCTCTTGAAGAGATGATGGAGTTAATACAAAGAAATGGGTCTTTTAACATTGAGAAAATGGAGTTGACAACAGTGGCAAAGGGAGAATCAACATTTGAAAATTATAGTCCTTACACGGTGCAAATGCTCAAAATGCACATGCGAGCTGGGTTGGAGGAAATAATCAGTAAACATTTTGGAACTGAGATTATCGATGATTTGTTTGATCGCTATGCTATAAAACTTGAGAACCTTTTCCATCGTCTGCAATCAGGCAAGGGAAAAGGAACTCAAATGTTTGTTATTTTGAAACGCAAGTGATGCGTGTTTAGGTACTTGTCATTCGTTCAGGCTTTGTAATCTTATTATTCTACATAATGCTTTGCTACAATTATTATGGATTCATCCATAGCTGCTCAATCAACCTTTTTTATTGTTGTTCCTCGAATCAATCAGCCTAGTACATAAATCAGAAGTTTTTTGAATGATCATCACAACAGTAAACATACAACGGTGGTATCATTAATTATTCTGTCATAATACTAGACTTGAGTTTTGGATCATTATATTATATAGGGTTAATGGTCGAAGTTGTCATTATATTTAAATTTATTATCATATTTTTAATGGAGTAAATTTTATTTTTAAAAGTACGTTAAATTTTTTTAATCTATTGTGATGACAAAATTTTGAAACTATCGAATTTATTCATGTGATTTTAACTTAAAAGCTTTTCATTTGTATGATTTGCATAAACATTATTAGAATAAAAAACAATCATTAGCAAATCATATTATTAATTTTGGGAATTTGATTTGAAATTTTTTTTTAAAAAAAAATAGATTAGAAATTTAACAATAAATAAAAATGATTAGTTCCAACAACAATGGGTAAAAAAGCATCCCACAGCCTCATTTTCTAGCACGTTCACTTTATGACTCCAATTCACTAGCAATCCTTTATTGCCCACTTCTTCCACAAACCCTTTTGAGAGCTTTGCTTTTTTTTTATCATCTCTGACTGCCCACAAGAAATAAAAATGGCTTCTCTTTAATAAGTATTTAGCTTAATTTCACTCCTAGCTAATATCATTTGAGTTTTGTTGGACTGTAAGAGAAATTAGGAATTTATTATCTATTATTATTCTGACATATATATATATATATATATGTGTGTGTGTGTGTGTGCGCGCGCGCGCGCGCGCAAATTTCTGACCAAAAAATTATGTTGCTGATTGATAAAATTCTAGCGGTGAAGGTGGTTTAGGAAAGAATGGTTTAATTATCCTACATATTTAGAATGATAGCTAGCACTCATTACATAAAGCTAAGTCACAACTGTTTAGCTCATTTCTCAAATTATAGAAACTGCACTGGGAGATTACTTATTAGTTTACACTAAATTTTTAACTGCGTTATGCTTGGAGGTCGAAAATCATTAAGTATCATCATGTTATATAAAAAATAAAACATGTAAAATTATTTTAAAAATAATTTCAATTTAATAATTCATACTATACTATAGGTCTACTAAAAGATATCAAATTAAAAATTAAAAAAAAAATCATTAATTTTTTTTTCAAAGTTGTGTTTAACTAATTATTTATTATGTTTTTCATAAATTTATGATAAAAAACACATGATTTATTCTTCTACATCCAGATTTTTAACTAAAATTTTGTAAAAAAAAAAAAAACTCATGAATTCTTAACTAAAAACATTTCTTATAAATTCGTTTTTCTAGAAAATATGAAAAAAATTATTTAAAAAACATCTTTAATCTTTAGATCTCTCTAAAAAACCAATTCTTGTACATATATACTCGCTATCATTTAAACATTCAAAAAAATCCATCATAATAAAGTATATTAATTTTTTAAAAATAAAAAATCATATTCTAAAACTTCACTAAAATCGGGATCCGATCTCTTTCCACTCGAGCCGTTTCAGTTTTCTAGATCTAATTGAGGTAAGGAACCTCCTCAAAAAGTTACTTGCATGTGTATGCCTTTATCTATGGATTTTAGATCTAGGTTTACTCTATGTTTGGATAATTCCTCTTGGGAGGAAAGAAAAGAGAGGAAAGAAAGTGAGAGAAAAGAAAAGAGGGAGGAAAGAAAATCATTTTCCACTTGTTGTTTGGATAAGAGTGGAAAGGAAAGGAAAGAAAATACATTTCCTTTGTTTGGAAGAGGAAGGAAAGAAAATGTATGATTGTATATTTACTATAATACCTTGTGATTATATTTATATATTTAAATACTTATAATAAATTTGTATGAATATTTTGGTAATGAAAATAACACAAATGATGATAAAAAAAAATCTAGCATGTAGCATATATTTGAAATGATAAGATAGATAATGAATCGTCTCCATAGCATAACCGATAATTGTTTATTAATTAATTAATCCAATAGCCAATTTATATTAATTATCAACATAAAATTAATTTAAATATGTATAACATGTATTATTAGCTATGCATATAATAAGTTAGTTGCTTTTACTCATCATTTCTCCATTTTTTTTTTAGAATAAACAATTACTATTAAGCAATTAAAAAAAAGAATATATTTTAACATTGAGAACAATCATCGAAAATCAATTGAATCACGGAAAATGAGACAAATCACAAATAATTTTTATTTATTCTTTTCTTTTGCATTAACTCCAAAAAGTGTTCCGGGAGATGTCTTGAGGGATATTTTGTGTCTATTTTGGTGGGTTTTTTTGGGGGGGTTTTTTGGTGGTTTTGAATCTGGTATGGGTTTGTTTGTGGAGCTTCTTTGGTGGTTCAAATGGCCTTTCCAAAGGGGTTGCTCTGTAACGGTTTTCGGGGCTGTTGGTAACAGTTTCGTGGCTGAGTTTGGAGGCTTTTTGATAGGTGTTGGGTCTGTTTTGGGGGTTGGTTTTAGGCCTCATTTTTTATGTTTTTTGGGGTTTTTATGGGTGGTTTTGAAGCTGGTTTGGGGGTGTTTGTGGAGCTTCTTTGGTGGTTCAAATGGCCTTTCCAAAGGGGTTGCTCTGTAATGATTTTCGGGGGCTATTGGTAACAGTTTCAGGGCTGAGTTTGGGGGCTTTTCGATAGGTGTTGGGTCTGTTTTGGGGGTTGGTTTTAGGCCTCTTTTTTTATGGGTTTTGGGGTTTTTTTGGGTGGTTTTGAAGCTGGTTCAGGGGTGTTTGTGGAACTTCTTTGGTGGTTCAAATGACCTTTCCAAAGGGGTTGCTTTGTAACGGTTTTCGGGGGCTGTTGGTAACAGTTTCAGGGCTGAGTTTGGGGGCTTTTCGATAGGTGTTGGGTCTGTTTTGGGGGTTGGTTTTAGGCCTCTTTTTTTATGGTTTTTGGGGTTTTTTTGGGTGGTTTTGAAGCTGGTTCGGGGTGTTTGTGGAACTTCTTTGGTGGTTCAAATGGCCTTTCCAAAGGGATTGCTCTATAATGGTTTTCGAGGGCGGTTGGTAACAGTTTCAAGGCTGAGTTTGGGAGCTTTTCGATAGGTGTTGGGTCTATTTTGGGAGTTGGTTTTAGGCCTCATTTTTTTATGGGTTTTAGGGTTTTTTTGGGTGGTTTTGAAGCTGGTTCGGGGTGTTTGTGGAACTTCTTTGGTGGTTCAAATGACCTTTCCAAAGGGGTTGCTCTGTAACGGTTTTCGGTGGCTGTTGGTAACAGTTTCAGTGGCTGAGTTTGGGGGCTTTTCGATAGGTGTTGGGTCTGTTTTCGGGGTTGGTTTTAGGCCTCTTTTTTTTTATGGGTTTTGGGGTTTGTGTGGGTGGTTTTGAAGCTGGTTTGGGGGTGTTTGGGGAGCTTCTTTGGTGGTTCAAATGGCCTTTCCAAAGGGGTTGCTCTGTAACGGTTTTCGAGGGCTGTTGGTAACAGTTTCGGAGCTGAGTTTGGGGGCTTTTCGATAGGTGTTGGGTCTGTTTTGGGGGTTGGTTTTAGGCCTCTTTTTTTATGGTTTTTGGGGTTTTTTTGGGTAGTTTTGAAGCTGGTTCGGGGTGTTTGTGGAACTTCTTTGGTGGTTCAAATGGCCTTTCCAAAGGGGTTGCTCCGTAATGATTTTCGGGGCTGTTGGTAACAGTTTCGTGGCTGAGTTTGGGGGCTTTTCGATAGGTGTTGGGTCCGTTGGTAAAGGTTGGTTTTAGGCCTCGTTTTTTAGATGAAAAGTTATGCACTCACAAGCACTACCTCGAGGAATTATCAATTAAGCTCGATAAAAAAAGAGTAATTACAAATTCATTTCCTCTACGTGAGTAATAATTCTTGAATCGAGAGGATGGATAAATGGAAACTCTAAATTATTTGACAAAGGAAGGATACGAACATCACAATACAAGTTTACATCCATTATCCCACGTACTTCATATAATTATGTAAGTTATACATACACATTATAAATAATTATGAAAGTCTTAGCATCAATTTGTTCGACTATCACATTCAAGTTACATGAGTTTCTAGTTAAGTCATTACAATTTAAGACAACATCCATATATAATATCCGCTAAATACACTTGAACATCACAATACAACAAAAATTCAAGTGTGATTCGAATCAATTCCCTTGCATTATATTTCAGCAATTGATTGCACAAATAAGTAGCCCAACTGCAAATTAAAAAAACAAACAAAATTAATGAAGCGACGAGTGCACATTAAGTAACAATAAGGGAACAGTTTGCATAAATTTGAAACAATTGAAACAAACAACAAATTATACTCCAACTTGTGTATGATTAACTTACTTTCATCGATCACCTCTTTCAGCCATCACTTGTGTTAGAAATTCAAGTCTTCTATGATGAGGCAACCTAAAGAATTATTGTGTAAGTGATGCGTTATCGGCCAAAAAGCGATATACACTCATTTGGAAGTTAGATTGCAATCCTATCGCCTCAAGCTCGGTGAATATCTCATCCTCATTAAAAAAATTTTGACGTTCCCTTTCTAAAATTGTCAATGACCTTTATGCAATGAAGTTTCCTTCTTCAAGTATTGAATTGCCCCTTTCTAAAATTTCCAACGACTTCTCTGCAATTGCATTTCCTTCCTTCATTACTTCGGAGACTTCTTTCATTCCTAAACGCACCATTTCAAATTGACTCGAATTGCTTCCACCATATGAGATTTACGTTTAGTGCCTCTAGATGAGTTTGTTTCTTCGGAATTGGGAGAAGCTATATAATCGGGAGTATAGAAGCTAGCATTTGCATGGTACCTTGGGTTTTGATTCCTCCAATTTGTTTCGCTATCCGATGTTATGTTATTATCCTCATTGAGATCAAATTGGCTCCACGAACCTTCCCTTTCCCACATCATCACCT